ACTTGTGATGGTGTTTGGAAAGACTACTTCTTGTAATCTAATGAAGTGATTATTTTAACAATTATTAACAATAATAAAATTATAATTAAATAATTGATTATGATTGTATAATAGAATAAATGAATATATGCTAATATTTATTTCTTACATATTTATTTATTTATTAAGTATATATTTTGAATAGGTAATATATCAAATAATACAGTATTATTCCGTAATATTAATTCCGCATAGCAATTCAATCTGGTTATAAATAATTTAATAGTTATAGAAATAATTAAGGAATAATAAATTGTATCATTAAACATGAATTATCACATTAGCTACAAATTATATTAATTTACTATAAAATCTAATAATTAATGTTAAAAATAGTAAATCATTTGTATTAAACAAATATAATACAAGCTTTTGGTAGAATCTCATAAAAAGCTATTGGATATACTGTGTGAATAAACTATTGTATTTAGTGTATTAGGGTACTCGTTTGTATGATATTACTGTGACCATATATGATCAGGATAAATTATTGATCAGTTAGGTTGGGACAGGTAGGGGAAAGGAATCAGATTACGATTTCCGTTCATCAGAAGGTGAAATTGCCAGTTATGCTGGACTAGTATAAAATTAAAAATTATATTTTAAAAAGTGCTCTGGTTACAGTATTTGCTAATTAATTAAGTCGATATACTGACACTACAATATAAGAAATTAAATAACACAAATATTGATTAAGGATAGATAGTTAGTGCATTATGGTTTTTATAAAATACTATTCAATTAACTATCAACAGTATTGAATAAAGTATTGTATTTACAAGTTAGTGTATCAGGTATAAGGCTACCATAATCTATTGATAACTAAAAATAAAAAATAAGTTATAACTTTATAATAGCGTATTTAATCAATAATTAACATTTACCTTGAGTGGTTCATAAAGGAACTCATAATATGAGTCTCATATCCATAACTCATATAGTGGAGGTGCCCTGTAATTGTTGATCTTAAATGCATTATCTATTTATATAATCATAAAAATACTTTACAATAATTCACATTACTTTAGAAGTAATACAATTGCTATTTATAACTGAAAATATTAATTAATACAAAATGTTTATAAAAAATAAAGTTGTTATAAATTTAATAGTATTTAATTTAGTTTTTGTTGTAACAAATTGTATTGAAACTAATGTTGACGTGAAAACCACTTCTGGTGTAGTGAGGGGTCAGACAATACAGGTATTGAACACAACTATTAATGAGTTTTTAGGCATACCTTATGCCGAACCCCCGGTTGGAAAGCTTAGGTTCGCTAAACCAGAACCTATTAAAACACCCATAAAAGTAAGTAATTATAATAACATTTTACTAAAATTTATAATAATTATTATTATTACACTTTCTTAAAGGATATTATCTCAGCAACCAAACCAAAAGACTCATGCATTCAGCCTTTATCTCCATTTCCAAACTTAACTTATAGTGAGAACTGTCTGTTTGTAAACATATGGACACAAAATGTGGACACCATTGGCACATCAAAACTAAAACCAGTTATGTTTTTCATACACGGAGGGGGTCTTAGTATTGGCTCAGTATTTACTGAAAGTGGAAGTGTGTTGGCCACCAATGATGTGGTGATTGCCTCAACCAGCTATAGATTGGGTCAATTAGGCTTTCTATATGGGGATCGGGAGGACGCGCCCGGAAATGTCGGTTTTCACGACCAGTTATTGGCACTGAAATGGGTATAAATTAAATTATTATTTTTAGAATTTTCCTTTTCTGATAGAATTTATTTATTTATTTGTAACTATAGGTCAGAGATAACATTCATGCCTTTGGTGGGGACAGGGATCAGATCACTATATTTGGTCAGAGCGCCGGTAGTTGGTCCGTATCAGCACACATACTGTCGCCACTATCAAAAGGACTGTTTAAGAGGGCTATTATGGAAAGTGGTTCTCATTTGTACAATAAGGACAGGGATGTGATCAACAAAAGTGAATCAATACTTGTGGGCAAACAAATGGTTAAGGATTTCAATTGTAGTGAATCTGAGGATTGGTTGCAATGTTTGCGAAGTATTGACGCAAAAGAGTTCAATAAATACACAAAAGTGATAACATATCCGGTGTTGGGAACAGATTTTGTGCCCATTTCTGCACAAAAAGCATTTCAAGAAATGAAATTCAATTCAGGTTTAAATGAAATATTGATATTAACTGAACCAATAACTAGGATTTAAAATTGTTATAAATCTGATTAGATGTGGACATAATAGCCGGTGTGGCCACCAATGAGGGATCAATGTTTGAGGCAAACTTTGGTTTACAGCCCACTGGGAACACCACTTTGGATGACATTAAGAGAGCAATCAAAACGGCTGATGATATTTACCACAATCTGGATATTCATAAACTCGAAGAATTTTATTTGAAAAATGTTGAC